AATATCAAATACATACAAGGAAGGGTGAGTAATAATTTATGTTTAATTACCGCAGCTGGTAAAATTGCAAATATTTGCTAGTGTGGGTTATTAGTGACAATATCAATATCAAATACATACAAGGAAGGGTGAGTAATAATTTATGTTTAATTACCGCAGCTGGTAAAATTGCAAATATTTGCTAGTGTGGGTTATTAGTGACATTATATCCAACACACTTGCAGAAGCAGTGAAAGCCACCATATTCAACAGTCACCCTCGTGTTTTTTTGTTTTTTCAAAAGAAAATATGGCTCACTAGTGGTGTGTGCAATTATTGATTATATCTGTACCTGGTCATCTTGTAGCTTCAACCAAGCACTTCATTAGTATTTTCATGACTGATTATTAACTAATTGTAACAACCAAATGAAAAAAAACCCATTTAATTTAGAAATGTTTTAGGCTGCAGAAATGAAACTACCCTCCAAATTGAAATTCTTTATTCTCTCCAATGTATTAATTATGCATGATTTCAAGAGGACATTTTGCTACCATATGCATGAGCACATGCATTTGGCTTGTTATAAGGAATGTCAATCCATATTCAAGGTTATAAGATTCTATGGTCATACTATTACAGGATTCTATGGTCATACCATCATGGTCAAGATTACAGGATTCTATGGTCATACCATCATGGTCAAGATTACAGGAATCTATGGTCATACTATCATGGCAGGAAATCCTGAATCTCAAAGCAGCAAAAGTCAGACTAATTAGGAAAATTCCCTTTAATAAAGGTTATGTTCAGTAATATTCATTAAAATCAAGATTTACAAACAACTCTGATAGTTACATGTTTTACCAATAACCAATTCTCACCATTATTCCTCACAATTTAATTTTGGTCACCACTCTAAAAACTAATTACTAATGGCTCAACTGGTGACTGGACTTTTGCAAGGCTGTACTAATAAAAGATAAGACAGTATGAGCATGAATAAACTTCTACCAAATTTTTCAAGCAGGAGAAATTCAGTAGATATGGTTGTTTTTCATTATAAAAATACTGGTAGTTTATGGATGAATTGTGTCACACTATATACGACAAAGCACAATTCACAGGACAATAAAATAAGTATTGTGATTAAATATAATACATAGCCTGATACACGCGTGCTTTCACCATTAGTAACTTCCGAGATGTATTGTCTATTTTGTTCATAACGATAAAAAAAAGTAAAGTTTTACAGTAAAAGACACTGTAAATACTAAAGCGGAGTTTAAAATTTATTACAAAAGTAAATAGTTTGCTTGTAAAGAAGTCTTACCCTTGACTCTTCTGCTAACATGGCATTCATATCCTGATCACTAATTGCAGACATCTTTTTTATATCTTTGTAATATCTGTAAAATAAGAGAAACTGTCAAAATATCATAAGCTAACATATTACAAAATTTTTCATCTATTATAATATTTCACACACAAATGTAAAGGTTGCATCCTAAAATCAATGGATTATAATTATACTTAATCTCTTGAAGCAAAGTCAAACTACTTGGATAAATGTTATGTAACTTCAGAATTCTTTACCTTTCCACCCAATCTTTGTACATAGGAATGTCTTTGGCATAAAGAAGCTTGCTGCTGGGGGAATCCTTGCCTAGCCGGTGGTCAGAAGTCGAGCATGCATCCATAAAAGTTTGAGCCACTACAGACAGGCAAGAGTCAACTATGTTTGAACGAGGAATGTCAAAAACAAAGTTTGGATTCTTCAGCAGATTTACCCAAAATCTCAGTGGAAGACTGAAAAGATAGAGAATATCACTCAGTTACTAGTGGGGAAAGCACACATGTATCAGGCTATGTATTATATTTAATCACAATACTAGTGTGTGTGTGTCTCTCAAATTACTGACAATAGCTTTAGTCACATTTTCAATGCAATATTTTTACATTTTAAAATCTACATACCTGTTTTATAACTTATAATATATGTATTAATTTATCCATCAGAAAAAAATGGGGGGAGAGGTTGGACCATGAAATGATAACTCATTTAATTTTCTAAGATTATGTAGCACTAGAAATTTGCCCATTACTATTTTTAAGGAAACTGATAAATTGTTATTTTTTACACCTATCTCTCACTAACAATTAATAAGCAATACACATGGATACATTATGACCTAATCATTTTAAAGACACAAAGAAACACTGAATTTTGCTTTTAGCTAGTATTTTGAGAAATAATAATAAAAAAAAATCATAGAGGTACTTAGGCAATGGGAGTGTTGTTTGATACAAGCTGTATGCAATAACTGCATAGCACAGAATACTTTTTAAATTGACATCCAAAAAGTTTCCACACACTTTACAAAATTAACAATTTTATAGCATTACAAAACTGTTTTCTAGACATACACACACATGTACATATTACAAGACAAAAAACCTTTCTCACCAAATCAAAATGGCCTACGTGTGTGCAGAATAGATAATGTCAAGTTTGTTCATCCTCTGCAAATTTTGTAAAACTTGGAAGGATAAGCTTTTACACATGTAAAACTTATATAATGAGAATTTATTTCTTCATAATTCCTGAAAATTAGATTTAAATTTGATTTTTTAACTTGATTAATCTTTTTCTCTAAAAGGCCCTTAAAATCTACAAAATGATTTTTTTTTTAAACTCAATTTCCTTTTTTTCACAAATAATTGTTTTGTTTATTGTTGGTAAGTGCAATGCAACACAATGGACTATCTGTGCTGTACCCACACAAAACTTAATTTTTAGCATCAAGCCCTCAGAATTACCACTGAGTGGGAGTGGGGGAGCCACTCCTGCAAAGAAACACATCATGAGCACCTCTGAATATAATTTTTCTTCTAGATACATTACAGTTGCCTAAATTGAGAAATTTGTAATACGAGATCACCAATTATTAGATACTTCAAATACTACCCTTTGTCTTAATTGGTTTAGACTCCAAGACATTCTCCTGGCCATAAACAATACCACCTTCAAACTTTGTACAAAGATTGTTATTCCTCATGCAACAGCTTTTACCACACATATACATTCTCTGGGATGTGGTTCACAGAAAAAAAGTTTTATTTTTATTTAGTCAAATGCTACGAGAGCTCAAATTGTGTACTAAAGTAAATGTAAGTGTTCAGGACTTTATCTGTTATTAAAAATAATCACACATCTGTAGAGGTGCCAACTCTAAATGATATAAAACAAGAATGCCAGTCTAAAACATGAATAATGCTCAAAAGTCTTAAAGGTATAACATATGTGGTTTTCATTCATTTTGAATGAATGATACCTGGCCAATCAGCATTACATTCAAACAAGTGCAAAATCCATGTTTCTAAAGAGTTCTGCCTTGGGACTAAATTTTTAATTATTGTGGTTGATGTTCTAGTTTTCTATTTCTTTTCAATTTTGTTTTTGTTATGAAGGTAAAATAGGTAAAAGCTCTCCACTGGGTGAAAATGACAGTACAACTCAGTCATGACTATGTCACAATCTTCTTGTTCTTAGTCTCAACGCTCAATGGAATCTAGGGCTGGACTGTCTAAGCCCAGGCATTGAATTTCCTTCTCCTGAGATCTAGCTCTTCCAAGAAATTTTTTTCTGAAATGCTTTAGAAAACAATACAGATCTTCCTTCTTTTCAACTTTGAACATGAAGGGTAAAGTCAGATTGGCTTCTCTCATAGTCACTGAAACCTGTGGTGTTGGCCAAAGCTTCTTCCTTGCAGATTCTTGGTGAATGTCCAGCTGAGATTTGCCACAATAATGGGTGTTGTATAATAGATATCCTCAGGGACTCTGATGCTCAGATAACAAGTTGATCTCTGGCTTTGGGTGGCACAGTGATAACTTGTTCTTGGCAGCTCATCCTGATGCTCTGCACGACCCCTAGATTCCTCACTATCCATGGTTGCCTCCCTGTTCACAACTGCCTTATAATCTTTTCCTACTGTTGCCTGCTGTCTAACATGCCAGAGAAACAGCTCTGCCTGTAGAAGTCATCCACCAGCAACACACCCAGTCTTTCTTGGCTGGGATTGTGTTACTCTGGCTTGTAGGAAAACCCAATATCTCAGCCTCATTAGATGTTACTCACTCCTCATTCGTCTGTGCTTACCTTGTGTCAAGATCAACTCTTAGGATTAATGCAGGATCTGCCATTTTTGGTAAACCAAATGTTAGCTGATCATCTCGAGTCTGTGGCTGCATAGAGACAAACATCAGAGACCTTTGCAACATGTAAAAGTCTTGTCCAGGAGAGTACTTCTAGACTAAACACCTTTCTCGTGCAAATACCTTTCTCTACTGTCATGAGCACTTCTACAAACAGAAAATGCCATTCTTTCAGTAAGAAGCATTCTTAAATTTATATTACTCAAGAACTTTTTGAGTAAGGGCAGTATGTATGTTAATGAAAACAGAAGACTTTGTAATAAAATCCTGTGGTCAATGCACCAAAATTTCTTCTTCTACCGACTCTGCAGTACATTTAGAGTTATAAGATTTCTTCAAAGCATATTAGGTAGGTTCACTTTATAATGGGAAGACCAGCAGGATAAATTCAAAAACAATGATGAGTTTAAAAAAAAATAAATAGAGAGACTGGACACAATGTTGATACACAATGAAAATATTCTTTACTAAATCAAAGACACAAAACAAAGTATGCATACTTGCATTTGGACACTGAAAATGTTGTCTTCTACAAAACTTTTGAATTGATTAAGAGATTTTACTCCCTCAAGATGTATTCTTGTCAACAAACCCACTTTAGGTCCTGTTTAGTAATGTGGAAACATCAGATTTACCTATAGTGACTAGCACTGCCCACATCACTGGTTATCCTTTTCCACACGGGTCACGGGTCAAAGGCAGGTCATCGCATTTGTTGACTTGCATTCAAAATTTTATTCAACTTCAATTTTATGAATTTTTGTCAATACGTTTGGTATTAAACTGTAGATTATAATTCAAATTTTAGTATTAGACATTATATAATTTATTAATTTAAAAGTAAATATTCAAAAAACACAGTTAAACATCGATTTTTGAGTGTCACGTGGTATGTTGAATGCAGCACTGGTTCAAATTAGATATTTGTTATGTCAAAATACAAAGTCTATAGTTTCGTTCAAATTAGGAATTCAAATTACCTATATTAACAAGCTAGAATATAAAATAACCTCCTATCTTATCCATTTGCCGAGATATTGCTGATGTACTAAATCAAACAGTGGCCCCACTCATCTTCTCCCATTTTTGAAAATGCTCCCCTATATACACTTACTTCTGTCTATGACATGTGAATAACCAATCAAAATCTCAGAATGTCCCCCTAGTGGCTTTCTCAGCCATTTACAAGTATTACGATGTCACATTGTTCTTTCAATACAAATCTTCAAGCTGGTGAGTCTTTAGTCTGCTTGAAATTCCTTTTTTTCTTTCCCAAATACAACTTAATGACCAAGCATGATAAATTATAGTGAAATTCTAATGTATTGATATAGTAATTTATGATTTTTTGGTTATTTCAAATACATATTTAAAACCTAAAAAATTTTCATTTCACATCCTCCAAATGCAAATTTTATGATAAGCAGCAACTGAGTAAAAAGGTCATAACTAGAAGAGATAATGGTTTGCTTTACTTCTTTATTTACTATTCTATGGTTTAAGAAAAATAAGTTTAAGAACTTAATTGTAAATAGTGATAATCTATATACATAATTATATATAATAATTGAAATGTGACTATTTTACAAAATATTAGTCCATTAAAACACAGCCAAGACAGGTCATTTTGTAAAGGTCAGTTTTATATTATTGTATATGGTAACATGAGGACAAGTACTCCCCATCATTGTAGCTTCTGTACTGTTAACCAGGCATGGCTGAAAGATCAATATATATAAATGTATAATGTTATGACATTTAAGCTACTTAGTCTAAACATTTGTGGTTTTTTTTGTAATAATTTTATGTCATTCTAGAACAAAAAGGCATAATTTAT